TGAACGCACCACCTTGAAATGGCAACCCTTTTCGAAACACAAAGATCACTCTTTGAAATAGTCTTATTCGATGCGCGTGTTGTGTGTGCGTTGTCCCCTTGGTGAATTAATTAATATTAAATTTCGATTTAAAGCTTTCGTGACTGCAGGGATTCATCTTCTTGGTTATTTCGGTAAAGTCACGTAGAAGGGAAATAATAAAATAATAAAAATAAAACAATAATTCGCACGTTTCGGCCACAACGCAAGCAGCCGTCAGGTGAAGAACAGGTCTGTCGGAAAGACAGCGTCTGACAGACCTTGTTCTTCACCTGAAGACGGCTGCTTGCGTTGTGGCCGAAACGTCGTGAGAATTATTTTATTATGTTTTATTTTTATTATTTTCCTTCTACGTGACTTTACCGAAAGAACCAAGAAGATCATTATTATTTTTAGAGCCGGGAGTTGTGTGGTGAGCTTGTGGTGGGGGAGAGGCCATACACACAGCGGCTTCGCTCCCTGCTTGCTCGCGCGGGCGTGTCAGCAGCCTCTGGCTCACTCTCTCCACTGCTAGATGAGTGGCGGCGGCACGATGCGGTCCTTGAAGAGGCTTGGTCGCTTGGCGCTTGATGGCACCTGGGGCTTGGTGCTGTTCGTGCTCTATGGCCGTTGCAACTGCTTTGTCCACAGCTGGATGACGAGTCGGCACGACGCTCGCCGTCGTGGCGCGCGATGATTCCGTCGTAGTAGTAGGTTTTTACCCTTTTAAACTGGTACAAAACTGACACCTTTATTCAAGGCATCATGTTTGCAATAACCACAACACAAGTAGTCAAAAAAGCAAACAAAAAGAAGCAACTCTGATAATGATAATAATATGCACTGTCCTTGAAGTTGATTGGTCCACACCCGAGACGGCTTTCTTTAGAGCCTAGTCCCCATTGGTGTTGGACCAGATGACACCAGAAGGCGTACAACTCAAAGACAGCGCACTATCAGAGTATTGAGAGCTCGGGGTAAGCATTTACACTATGAGACATCTCCTTTACCAGTGGCAACCTACTACTATATTTTGCCACGGGTAAAAGAGATCTCATAGTGACGATTCCGTCGTCGGATAGCGCGCAGCTCCTCCACTGCTGGATGACGAGTCGGTTCTCAGCAGGTGCTGGTCGATGTGTGTGTGTATTAAACAGCAGCCGGATCGAGGGGGCTAGACGGGCGCGGCACGGGCTGGAGAAGAGATGGAGTGATGTGGTACAGGAGGACGTGGAGCTGAGTGGACTTGCCGATGACTGGTACCAGCGGTGTCAAGATCGGCCTCAGTGGAGGAGGCTCGTGAAGGACGCTACTGGGCAGTTGGAGGCAGTCGCCCTCCAACAACAACGGAGGGCGGAGGAGCGACGCTCACAACAACGAGCGGAGCGCCGGGTGGCTAAAGCACAGCAAGTTGGCACAGTAGGGGGCACAGGTGGTGCATCAGCCAGCCATCTCGGTCATCTCGGTCAGTCGACCCGTGGCACCTGGGTCTGCCCCGTGACCTCCTGCCAGCGGGCTTTCGACACTTCACGTGGCCTCAAGGTGCACTTGGCCTGGCACAAGCATCGTGGTGACGTCACCGCCACTTAGTGGCAAATGGCGGTTGTTGTTGTATTAAACACACGGCGCATTCCATGGCGCTCTCCTCTTCCTCGCGGGCGGCCGATCAGGCTCTTTCCACCGCTCCGTTCTCTCTCCTTGATCGTGCAGCTGCCAGCTTCACACGGACACCCGCCCTCACTTCAGGGCTGCGTTGGCTCAGGCTCTGGACGACGCGGCTGTGCGCGCAGCAGCAGCATATTCTCCCGAGGCATTTGTTATAGGACAGAGGTCGCAACCGGGTACCCGATACCCGGCTACCCGCACCCGGCCGGGTACTGGTACCCGTTTGCGACCCTGGTGCGGCCGGATACGGGTAGGCCGTGAGTCACTGGTGAGTCACCGTTTGTCACTCATTTCCCAACGTCTTGTCTCTTCTCACAATTCAAATTCCTAGAATCAACCCACCCGCGCCTGCAACATGGCTTCATCCCAGAGGTCGCAATCAGGTACCCGATACCCGTACCCTACCCGGCCGGGTACGGGTAGGGTACAGTCGGGTACGGGTACCCGTTTGCGACCCTGGTGCGGCCGGGTACGGGTAAGGAATCAAAACCCGTTTGCGACCTGTTATAGGACTCCATCTATCGTCTCGGTCTTGACCACTCTGGAATTTTAATTTTTTTTATATTTCATTGAGGCAACAAGTCGTCACCACAAACTAAACCGGTTTTTAAAACGTGGGGAAGAGAGAAAGATTGTTGAACGAACTCGCTGCCCCAGGCATTAAAACATGTTGATCGTATATTCTTTAAATTCACATTGTATCAAATCCACCGTTTAACAAAACGCGACCAAGAGCTCGGAATGTATTGAAACGACAAAGTCGCATTGATGGATGTTCAAAGGTTACACCCGTAATCTTTGAAAAAAAAAATTCGACACTAATTTCAACAGAAAATTTTCATGCGTGCATTATTGTTCATGGAAGTCCGTTTAAACATTTGTTTAAAATCAATAGAATAACCCTGTGTGTCCTGACTTTTGGGCCACCCTGTACATTCAAGTGTCAGCCAAAGAATGAGTGTCTCTGTGTGAGGAAACCCGCGCGTGGGCGAGGGGAAACACACTATCCCATCTCGATGCAGCAGATGCAGACCACGTTTTTGCTGTAACGTATACAGCAGGCGTCAAGAGTTCTAACCCACTACCCCCTCCTGTATACCAGGAGAGAGAGATAACATCTCGCCACCGTTGCGCCACATAACCGCATGGCCGGCCGGACAGAGGGGTCTTAAACGGACGCGGCACGGGCTGGAGAAGAGATAGAGCTGATGCGGTGCAGGAGGATGTGGAGCTGAGTGGACTTGCCGAAGAGCAGAATTAGCCGTATACTCTTTAGTTCTTTCGGCAAAGTCACGTAGGTATAACATAAATAAAATCACGACTTTCGGAAGCAACACCAGCTTCCATCATCAGGTGGGACAGCCATGACGGAAGCTTGTGTCGCTTCCGACACACTGAAGCGGTTTGGGCTTTCGCTGCGTTGTCCCCACCTGAAAATGGACGCTTGTGTTGCGCCCAAAACGTCGTGATTTAATTTAGTTTTCATTTTTAATTTATACTATTTTTTAAATCCTTTATATTAAGTTCACTTGCTTGCTTGCGCGCTTACGACCGTGCAAATCTTTCGGTCGTTTTTTAACCCACTTCCCGTGATCCAATCGAGCTGACATTTTGCACAGACTCGTTTTTAGGAAAAAAAAATTTCATATTTAATTTAAAATACCAATGTGAGAAAAATGAAACTCTTACTCAAGAAAAACAGAAATGAATAATAAAATAAAACCGATGCCACGCATATAAAGGATTTATAGTGAAAAACTTAGTTTTTACGGGTTAATTTTTTACCTACGTGACTTTACCGAAAAAACCAAAGAGTATTCTTCTTTTGTTTTACTTTTAATTTATTTTATTTTTTACCTACGTGACTTTACCCAAAGAACTAACGAGTATGGATCATTGCAGTCACGAAAACGTAAGATCTAGACAGATATAGTTCATTCTAGATTCGAAGCTTTCGTGACTGCAAGGATTCATATTCTTAGGTTTTTTCGGTAAAGTCACGTAGGTAAAACATAAAAATTAATTATTTTATTTTCATTAATTTTGATGTTTTACCTACGTGACTTTGCCGAAAAAACCTAAGAATTAGAATTAGTTCACTAGTAAGGATAATGCTGCTTGGAACAGCGTTGTCGCAGTGATTCGTGGCTTCCTGGGCAATCACAAGGTCGAAAACTGTGGAGCTGGTTGAGACTGGTGAAGAGCTACGGAAACAATGGGCTGTAGGATGTCCCTCAAAGTCCATATCCTTGATGCTCATCTTGATAAATTCAAGGAGAACATGGGAGCGTACTCGGAGCAGCAAGGAGAGAGCTTCCACCAGGATAGACTGGACTTTAAATTCAGCTACCAAGGACAGTATAACGAGAACATGAAGGGAGACTACATTTGGGGGCTGATTCGTGAGTGATTTACAGTATAATCGTAAATCTCTAAAAACTACTCACATCTAAATCTTCTGTAGTAATTTTTGTATGACTTTAGGATAAATACATGTAAATTTTGATTCATGTTTTTTTCTGACTTTGTGAACAAAAAGACACAATTTCTCCCATTTTCCCACTGAAAATAGGTAAATTTCTAAATATCACTGTCCTGGCCACAAAAGTAAAGTTTGTGGGGAATAATAGCCACTTTCTATACTTTTTAGGCATAAGCAATTAGGAAATAACACTACCCAGGAACAAAAATTGAGTTAGTGTAATCACGGGTGTGCTCACACCGGCTCCAGGTTACATTCTGAGCAGACTATTTAATACAAGTGACATTCAGAGCAGACTATTTAATACAAGTGACGTTATTAAGCCCTGCCACAGCACGCAAGGTTACTGTGTGGTCAGCTGCCCATCTCCCCTTGCCGACATTGACACTCAGTACGAATTTAAGGCCGAATCGACCTAGGGGAGGCCCAGAACACACTCTTGTTTCGCTCGCCAATGATGTTGGCCCGGAAAACTTGGGTAATCAGGTTTCTTCACAGCAACAAACCACTGCATCAATGCTCCCCGTACACAAATATTCGCAACAGACGGGCAAGTGCTGTTAGCGAGCAGCACCTATGAAGGCAGAAGGCTGGCACGGCACACGAGGGGGGTGGGTGGCCAGCACCACGCCCTTGGCTCCCCAATGCTGATACACATCGCACCAGGTACACTAATGAGATTGAGTCGACCTAGGGGAGGCCCAGGATCGGTTCAAATAATCGTCACCGGTGTTGGCCATGAGCGGGAATCGGACTCGGGCCGTCGGGTTCATAGCGCAGCGCGCTAACCACTCCGCCTCAGCTCCCCACATACACAGACACCCGACAGCAAAAACAAACGACGAAGCTTTATTTCCCCCACAATAACTACAATACACTGCAGCACGACATGAACCACAATTCAATGCGTAAAAAAGAGAGAAAGGTGGCATCTCACGACCTCCCCGACTTAAAAAATCGATAGGAATGGAGGAAGGCCATGGCCCAGACAACCATGGAGGAGGGGGACCACGTGGCACACAAACAACCTGAGATTGGTCGGGGGGGGTTCCCACAACCACCGGGGTCAAACGTGGCACGGCAGCGCCGGCACTGACCTCTTGAGTCGGGCCCCCCCCCCCAACCCCCCGCGGGGCATTTGGCCCACGGCTCCTTCGGCCCACGCCATAAGTGTTTCCGCCAACACTTAACCTCCGTTTGTCAACTTGCGACCGACAGCGACGACCGCCATATCAACGGTGACGGTGGTGGACAAAGCAGCAGGGTTGAAGCTGTTGGGGCTAAGGATTCAGTGGAATTGCCACGGGCTGCCAAGATTGCTTTCTGAACTACAAGAACCCCCACCGCCACGTTCCGGTGAGAACCCGACCCCTGGTGGACACCTTCCCCATTCCCTCCATCTACCCCACCCCCCTCCCCCCCCACGCATAGATCCAGGCGACCGGACAAAATGACCAACAAGGAACTTATCAACAAACGCCGGCAACTACTGCGACTGACCAACTATGGCAAAGCCTACACACGCGCGCGCGCGCGCAAAACGAGTCAAAGTGGAGGGGTTTATTTAACGTTCGACTCAAAACTCTGGGTCACGTCCGCGGCGACATCGTGAAGGAGAGAGAGCCTCCACTAAACACCAGCATGGACGCCAATTCTTAAGTAAAAAACAAACCGCGACAACCTACAAAAGCAGTCGAAGAGCGTGAAGTGGAGGGCACAAGGGAAAAGCTCCCCACCGTCACGCTCTCAACCTCGGCATCGGCCATCACCCTGCCAAACGCCCTCTGGCCTGGCAATTGCCAAAGACGCTCCTGGGCTCCGATCTTCTTGAAAAGGAGAGCTCGTGTGGGCTGACTTTAGCGGCACAGCCAATTCACCAGCAATTGCTGCGCGGTGCTCAACTCTGCGACTCTGCAACGGTGCAGAGGCCACAACTCCTGGGTCGACCCTGGGAGCGATTGCACAAGCCAGCACTGCTGACCTAACGCACGGACTGGTGGTGAGGTGGGGCGGGGGGGACTATGCTGGGCACGATGCTCTCGGGAGGGGCGTCCATCACGGTGACCAAAGGGGGGGGGGGGGGGGGGCCCATGGGCAGTGCTTCTGCTGCCCTCCATCAAGGAACCCACTGCCCACAGCGAGCCCCGCTAGGAACCGGTTCCATGCCAGAGGCTGGCACGAGCGGTCGGGCCCGATCACGTTGTCCTGCGGTAACGAGTCGTGTGGAGTCGCCTGGTGGCGCCGTGCTGGGGAGGAGCGTGTTGAGCTGGTGTCGAGGCTGGCACCCCCTTGGGCCGCGACACGATGCGGCTGGGCACGGGGCCCAAGCGCTCCGCACGTTCATTTCCGCGTCGCCGCCATTGCTGCCATTCTGTGGCTGTGATATTCGCGGAAACTGGGCGAGGCAAGGGGTAGTAGGTAGATGTGGATGGCTGCAATTGGCGAGCTGGCTCTTGGAGCCGGGCGGGAGGGCTATTGTCCCCGTCTCACTTGCGGCGCCGCTTGTTCTTGCTTCTCGAGTCGCGGCCGCCGGAGCTCTTGCGCTTGCGAGAAACTGGCGCCGTCCGCTGGTCCTCCTCCTCCTTCTCCAGGATCTGCTTGTCGGCTGTGGAGAGACGCGTCGGCGCAGCAGGGCGAGGGGGGTCACAGGGTCGCTCGCCCATTGGCAAAGGGACAGAACCACGGGCACAAGGGAATACACAGAGACACGGGAAGTACAGGACACACAGAGGCAGGAAACAGGAGCAGGAGGACACATCGATATGGGGACAGAGGAGGACACGGCGCCAAACCCTGGGACTTATAGACATAGGAACGAGAACACGGGGGATCGTGGGGAAATAGGGATATGGAGAGACAAGAGACAGAGGGACGTAGACACGAGGACATGGAGACAACGGGACACAGAGGTAGGGAGACAGGAGAAGGGAATGTGAGAACACAGGGACACGTGCCCCCCGAGCACACCGAGACATGAGGAAACAAGAAGAGAGAACACGAGACTACAAGGTCACACGCGCACACGCACACACGCGCACACGCATACACGCGCGTTACCACCGCCACTCACCTCGCCGCGCCTCCTCCTCCAGCTCATCCCAGTCCTTGCCGCTCTCCTCCTCGCTGCCAATCGAGAACTCCGAGCCTGAGCCAAGAAACCAGCCGGACAGGGTAACGGCGTTAGCGCAAACCGCTCACAGCGGCCAGCAGGTGTAACTGGGAGAACGTGGCGCACATCGTCTCCATCTGTGAAGTCCGTCAGGGCAAGCCTGGGCGGACTTGTTGCCATGTAAGTATGTAGACAGTGCATACATTATCAGAGTTATGTTTTGTGTTTGCATTATAACTGCAGGTATTGTGGTCTATGCAAACATGACTCCTCGTAAACAAGGTGTCAGTTTTGTTGCTAGATAAAAGGGTAAAAAAACCAATTATCATTATGTAGAACTTCTTTCGCCACAGTACGTAGCCAACCGTGCCAATCGGAGGTGTGGCTGCGTGGGCCGACGTCCACTCACGCATAACATCGACGTCCACATGCATTCAGTCAATTCGTTATTTCCCTCGTGGATCTGGTGTAAAAGTCACGTGTAAAAGCATTCGCTCAAATAAACCGCGGCCGGGCGCTTGCGTGAACAAGGGCCGAGCCGTGCGCAGAGGGATGGGGGGCGCGGACGGGGGGGCGGGGGGAAGAGTCGGGGGAGGGGAATGCGCAACAGCGTCTGACCAGATTCCTCGATCTCCGACGAGTAGTCTTCGTCACTGTCGTCTACCTCCTCTTCCTCTTCATCTTCGTTCTCCGAGGGGTTGAAGTCCTCGTCCTCAATCTCGTCAGAATCCTGGTCCGAGCCACCGCCGCTGCCCTGCAGATGTATCCGCCCTCCTCGCGTTACAACAGCGCTAGCCAATCCACCATCACTGCGATCCACTCTGCAGGAACTCAACAGGCTCCAGCAGAGTGGATTCATCAACACAGCAATGATCAACGTTGTTGGGTTTAGATCGCGTTATTTATAAATGTGTCGTAACCCTCCACCGCCCGACACGGCCAATCAGTAAAAAAGTGTCACGTTGACAAAAGACAAATAGTTCACTGCTTTAGCCCACCGGTGTGTTGAAGCGTGAAACCACGACATTTACAATTTTTAATAGCACGACGTTTCGCTGGTAATTGCATCCAGCATCATCGGGCAATTCGCCAGAATTGAACTATTTGTCTTTTGTCAACGTGACACTTTTTTGCTGATTGGCCGTGTCGGGTGGTGGAGGGTTACGACACATTTATAAATAACGCGATCTAAACCCAAAAACGTTGATTATGAATAATATTGGTCGCGAAAAGCCTACGTGTTAAACACAGCACTGACCAACAACCACCTGGATAGACAATAGCAAGTATACGTGCCATCTCGATGTTATTTTTTAAGTACGAATTATTAGGTTGGGGATTTTTATTTTTGCCATCAGCTGGAACGAAAATAGTCTTGGGCTCACGTGTTCCTTACAATTTTTTCCGAGATCCGCAAACAAAACTTTTGCGGTTCAAACTCCACACAGGTACAACCGGGGGGGGGGGGGGGGGTCACAACCGCACCAACATCCTACAGAGCGGCTCAATGTGAAGACAAAAGCTTCAGCAGCAACCAAAAACGCAGATGGATGATTATATCAAACGATCAAGCTACTTAGGATCTGCAAAGCATATAATCACGGGACCATCTCGGCGTACTGCAAAAGGAAACCCCCTTTACACGTCAACATCACGCACAAAGCGAAACAAAAACTAACGTGAAAAATCGCACGCTCTGACCACTGCACCACCTGGCCACCAGGAGAGAGAAAGAGGGTTGGTGGATGGAAGGGGAGGGGTTGTGGGGTGGGGGGCGAGCGAGGGGGATGCCCCCACCATCCACCCCACAGTGTGCGGCTGACACGGCCACTCACATCGCTCTCGGGGTCCAGGAAGGACCAGCCGCCCTGGTCAAAGAATCCCTCGGGGTCATCCGTGATGGTCTTCATGATCTTGGTCCAGTTGAGCGACTGCACACCCTCCGTGTACTTGATGTCGCACGAACTGTTGACACACACGCGGGCAATACGACCGCCCCCCCACACCGGTCAAAAAATAAACCTTCACGTGCCGGCCACTGCCACGCAAACAAAATCGTTACCCCCCCACACCCCCTACCACCACTTTCTCCGTATCGCCGTTAACAGACCGCTGTTGGGCGAGCTGGCCAACGGCTTTACGCACTTGAGCCACTCCTTGATGGGGTCGAGCGAGTTGGTGGGGATGGCGTTGACCATGGTGACCTTGTGGCTGTAGTCCTTGTACACGATGACCATGTCGAAGTTCTTGAGGTGGAACTGCACGCGCTCAAAGTGCACGAGCTCCAGCTCGTCCAGCGTCACCACAAACGGGGGCTGAGCGCCGCCACCGCCAAGCAGGCGAGAGGGAGGGGGGGCGAGAGGGAGGGAAAGAGGGAGGGGGCGGGAGAGAGGGAGGGAGAGAGGGAGGGAGTACAACAATGTCCGTCAGATAGACAGAAGCTTCAGCAACAGCCAAAACACAGACGGATAATTAGAACGATCGATCAAGCTACTAGGATTCGCAAAGCTATAATCAGCGCGTTAAACACAAACTCTAACCGGTTCCGAAGACATACGTGTACGTCATCAGTTTTTCTTCCGGAATCGGGATTTAACAAGCCGTGCGGGAGGGGCGTGTGGCACAGTGTGGCACCAGCTATCGTAGACTGCGGCAGTCGTGTCGCATCACGAGTAACAAAGTCTTTAAAAACAGTGGCGCTGCGCCTCGCTAAATAACATTAACGCAAACCACTCCCGCGTTTCGAGATTCAACGGAGAACGGGACCACCCGCCCTGCAGTGAACGGGACACCCACACTGCAACTTGCAGAAGTCGCGGAACGGGGAACAGGGTCAATGATAAGATGCGCAGCACGGTACGCGTGTGCATGTATGCCGAACATCTTTCGCACCGTACGTAGCCGACCGGCGCGATCCGAGGGTACGGCACGTTGCGCGCGGCGCGACGGGTGCGGTGCAGGGGCTTACCCATTCGGTGACGTTCACCAGGGAGCTGCTCGTCGGCTGCAGCAGGGTGGTGCTGCGGTAGGGGGCGCCTTGGAACCTGCACGTGGACAGGGCACATAATCCTCCATTGCGGATAGCGACAACAACACACGTTCACGGCTACCGCCACCAACAACACACACACAGCTACCTACACTCACTTGCATAGCAACCACAAAGCCACAGCTACCATACAGACACCACAGCGACCAGATGATGGGAGGGGGTGTGCCATCCACTGACCCGAGTTCCCGGAAGGGCACCTCAAATTCCAGGCTCTCTTTGGTGATGTTCTCCACCTTCTCGATGAAGCTCTTGAACGCCGTCTTGAGCTTGTGGCGCAGCTCGCGCTCCATCTGAGCGGCGGACACACCGCCGCGGCGCCCGCGTTAGCGCAAGCGCGACGGCGAGGGGGCGAGGGAGCCAGCAAGCTCCACCGTGGCGGCCGTCAGAGCGCAAGGCGAGGAGGAGGAGAGCGTGCGACGGTCTCACCTGCTCGGCGTAGAGGTCGTCGCGGTCGTGCATGTGGTGGTGCTTGCCCAGATCCGTGGTGACCTCTCCCACCTCCGTGTAGAACTGCACATCCGTGTGCCGCTTCTTGCCGAACATGATGGCGTTCTGCGCAAACATGAGGGGTGACGGTAGACTCGAGCAACGCGCGACAATAACGCGAAGACGATCATGACTACCCGCTACGTTGGGGTGGGGGGGGTGAGGTGGTAATGACGGTGGAAAGTATGTATGTGTAGAACTTCTTTCACACCATGCATAGCCAACCGTGTCAATCGGAGTTGCGGGGAAAAGACAAGAAATTAAATATGGAATAAATCAATTTTAAATCTGTATGATTTCAAAGTCCATAGCTCCAGTGGCTTCCTAATATCAGAAGGCAAGAGCGTTTCAGATGGCTGTAGACTCGCATCTGAAAGCGCGTGATGCAGTGAAGGAAGTGGTAGCGAGTGTAGTGGTGGTGAAAGTGGCGAGTGTAGAGGAGGTGGTGGTGAGGGCGGTGAACAGTAAATGCGGTGGTAACGCGTACCGTGAGTGGTAGTGTAGTGTGGAGAGTATGGCAAGTGGCAACGCTCGTGATATAGGGGACAGCGAGAGATCGGTGCCACGTGGTATGGTGTGGCAAGGGAGGCGGCAGTGAGTGTTGTGTGGCGAGTGTGGCAACGCTTGTGATATAGGGGACAGCGAGAGATCGGTGCCGCGTGGTATGATGTGACAAGGGAGGCAGCAGTAAGTGTTGTGTGGCGAGTGGCAACGCTCGTGATATAGGGGACAGAGAGAGATCGGTGCCACGTGGTATGGTGCGGCAAGGGAGGCGGCAGTGAGTGTTGTGTGGCGAGTGTGGCAACGCTTGTGATATGGGGGGGGGGGGGGGGAGACCGAGGCCTCGGTGCTCCGAGTGGGTCGTGGGGGGTGCGGGGGGGGGTCAGCACCTTGAGGTGGAAGTGCAGCACAATGATCATCTCGCCGTCGCACGGCTGGAAGAGCGCGTGCTTGATGTTGTTGTAGAGGATGTCCACCTTGTCACCGCGCACAGACGTGTACCGGAACCCTGCTCACACAAAGATCCCCCCCCCCACACGTCCTTTAACATATTGTTGGGGCAAGTGCCTTTAACGAGCACCTTTCAAGGTCGGCACGGTACACGAGGGGGATGGTGGTGTGATTAGCACAGACCTTTGGCTCTCCCCAATGGTGATTACACACCAAATAAAATCCTCATTTAAGGCTGAGGTAACCTAGGGGAGGCCTAAACGGTTCAGAAATTGGTCACCAACATTAGCTGCGACGCTCACTCGCATGCACATGGGTCCCGCAGCCCATTAGCACGAAAATTCGGAATTGCAAATGATTGTCTACTCAGCAAATCATCAACAATCTGCCTGATCGCATCTCGGATGGCCCGCACCTGAATGATTGCTTGCAATGGGCGATCGCGACGCACAACCGAGGTGTATCTAGGCAGTGCAGTAAAGGGCATTGTTGAACCGTACTTATATACTCCTACGTTTGCGCTCCCCGTGTTCGCCAACCCTCGCTGACCAGCGTGGCGAAGTATGGTAACATAACTACTTTCCGCGCAGTGTCCGGGAGGTGCTCATCCAGCGGTGGGCTGACAAGGCGGCCGTACGTTTGTACAAAAGTAACACACGCCGGCTCGCGGCACAATGAGAGAAAACAAAGAGATTAAGAGAGACATATTTCCCATCTCGCACCGCATGATGGGAAGTATTTTTTTTCATCTTACAAGGTAAGGCCCACTGAGCTATAGAGGCAGTCCAGGGTTTATGGATGGGTTAGGTTCCTGAGAAATATCCGTAACCCTCATTTTCCGTATGTCGGAAACTGAACAATTTCCCCCACAAAATCAACGATAAAATACCATCGGATCATAGTTGTGACTCCCCTACCATTTTCTCTCAGTACTGTATCGCGCTTTCATCCGTTTTTTTATCGCTTCCTGTACCGTGTCGCTGTGCATACGCTCTGCACTTGCTCCGATTCTTTAATTTGATCGAATATCTACCCTAACGCTACCCATAATTAAACTAATGGAACATATACTGTACTGTACAATTGTTTATAAATACAATAAAACCTTGGATTGCGAGCTAAATTCGTTCAGGAAACGTGTTTATAATCCAAAGCACTCGTATATCAGTTGTGATCACGTGACGCTCGGCAGACAAAGCGTATGCACGTACCACTCGTATTGCAAGACCTCGCTCGTTTATCAAATTAATATTTATTTAAAAATTTTGCTCATCTTGCAAAACACTCACAGACCAAGTTACTCGCAATCCAAAGTTTTACTGTACAGCGAAGCATAGAAAATAGACAATTACATCATGCTACAAAAGAAAGAGACGATGTGGCGATTAGAGTATACTCATGGTAACAATGCAGCAGTGTGACTCTGCTATGCAGGACACCACTGCCTTGAGGAATATGCGGCTCCCGCTTTACGCCTCGCTCCGCTGTATTCATCCGCAACCTCGCCACGCTGCATTACTTGCGTTTACGTAACTGACGCAAACATTTACGTGTACGGTACTGTATAGATTTTTTTTTTACATGATTTATGGGGCATTTAAAGTGGTATTTCCCTAAGTGAGGTCTTCCGTAACCCGGGGACTGCCTGTACAGGTCTTTTTCAGAAGCAACCTGGTTAAATATGATGGCTCAATGAAGCGGCTTATTGCTTGGAGATGTTTCGCAGCCAAATACTCTAAAAGTACGTTTCTAAATGTGGAGGGAAAAACCAGAGGACTCGGAGAAAAATCCAAGCGACCATGGGGAGGGAGACACATGCAAACTCCAAATATACAGGCGTCAGGGTCGGGATCGGACCCACGACCCCCTGCATACCACGTGAGAGAGATAACATCCATACCCTCACCAACTCCCACCCCCTCTCACCGTTGACGTGCGCCTCCAGGAATCCCTGCATGCGTTTCTGCGCGATGTTGGGCCGGATGTAGAGGTCCTTGAGCTTGGGGTTGCTGCGGTTGGGGTTGATGACCAGCGTGTCTTGCTTCACTATGCCCTGGTGACCACGAAGGCAGGGGCAGCCGCAACAAGCACAACGGGCGCGCACGGGGTCAGGGGGTCACGATCGCACGAGGCACACGACGACGCAAACTAAGCGACGCGCTGTGACGCAATGTGCAACGCGACGCCGCCCCGACAGCGACACCCTACCTCCATCTCCTTCTCCTCGGCCTCGCGAGTCTTGTAGCGCTTCTGGACCTCCTTGATGATGCGGAAGGCGTTCTGCAGGTTCATAGCGGGCACCACCACCTCGCCGGGGTTCTTCAGGTTTGACGCCCGATACGTGCTGCCAGGAACAAAGACCTCCCATGTAGCCTTGGACTGTTGGGGCAAGTGCTGTTAGCGAGCACCTACGGAGGCCAGAACGGCACACGAAGGGGTGGGTGGCCGGCATCACGCCCGGCCGCCTTTGTCTCCCCGGTGGCGATGTTAACACACCGCACCAAGTACTCATTTGAGGCCGAGTCGATCTAGGGGAGGCCTAGGACCAATACAGATAATCGTCACTGGTGTTGGCCGTGAGCGTGAATCGAACTCGGGTCGCTGGGCTTGTAGCACGGCACGCTAACCGCTACGCTACCGCTCCCAGGAACGCACACACACGCCCGCGTGATGCCGCGTGTACAAGCCAAAGCATTACACACTAACACATTACAGAGCACACCATGCGTGCAAGTTGACGCGTTACACAAAAGCGTTGCTCTGTGCATGCAAGCGAACAACACATTGCATTAAGGGCAAGTTGTACTATGCATACACGCTAACACACAACAGACAGCACGCCAACAAACCACAAACAGAATCCCCGTGGCTAACAAACCACACGCATAACCCCGACGTCAACACACCACACGCGGTGCGCGAATGCTACGCAGCTGTAGCAGCCCTGCAGGGGTAAGGCGCCCGTCGTTCGCACACTCAAGTCCCTCGCTCGCTCTCTCACATCTCCTTGAGGAAGGTGGCGTCGGGGTTCAGGAAGACGCTGCCCTCGTTGCGACCCAGGGCGCTGCCCGGGCAGAAGAAGTTGATCCTCAGGTAGGTGTAGTCGCCCTCCACCGATGTGCTGATGTTCTGTTGGTGGCGTGCGGTGTGCGCAAGCGGGGCGGGCGATGTGTGTTTGTGTGGGTAGTGTGGGTGAGCAGTGTTGTCGAGTTGCGTTTGTAAATAATGTTGGCGAGAGGGGTGCGTGTGAGCAGTGGGGGGTGGGGGGGACGGGGTAACGGTAAGGCAGTGGTTAGCGTGCTGCCCAACAAACTTGTCAACCCGAGTGCAACCCCCACTCACAGCCAAGAACCGTCGCGAATATCTGAACCAGTCCTGGGCCTCCCCCCCCATAGGTCGGCTCGTAATTAAAGGAATACCGAGTGTGGTGTGTAAACATCAGCACTCGGGAGACAAATGCAGCCGGACATGGTGTTTTCACCACACACTCGTGTGCCATACCAGCCTTAACAAGCGCACGCGAACAGCATGGCAGCCGTGCGTGTGTGTGTTAGTGCTTTCGAATCGGGGATCGAAGCCAGGCTGTCATTGCCGCGAGGCACAAGTGTTACCACTGCACCACCTAGCCGCGCAGGCGCGTGCGCGAGTGTAGGGCCGCGCCCCGTAGCCCGCACCTTGACGGTAGAGATGTGGAAGGGCGTCGCGATGCCGAACACCGGCAGGATGACCGTCTCGTACTTCTTGTCGATGTAGATTTTGTTTTCCCGGATCTCGGGCTCCTTGGGCACCAGGGACGCGTTCTTGTACGACACGTTCGACTTGCGAGCCCTGCGGGAAGCGGAGTGTGCGTACCAGGCTCGGCGGGACATTCAGGGAGAGGTCGCCACGCTGGCTAGGAGATGTTAACTACCTCGCCTGGTATGCAGGAGGTCGTGGGTTCAATCCTGACGCCTGCTGTATATTTCGAGTTTGCGTGTCTCTCATCATCATCACCATGGTGGCTAAAAGATGTTAACTACCTCGCCTGGTATGCAGGAGGTCGTGGGTTCAATCCCGACGCCTGTATATTTGGAGTTTGCGTGTCTCTCATCATCATCATCACAGTAGCTAGGAGATGTTAACTACCTCGCCTGGTATGCAGGAAGTCGTGGGTTCAATCCTGACGCCTGCTGTATATTTGGAGTTTGTGTGTCTCTCATCATCATCATCACGGTGGCTAGGAGATGTTAACTACCTCACCTGGTATGCAGGAGGTCGTGGGCTCAATCCTGACGCCTGCTGTATATTTGGAGCCACATCTTTGAACTATCATGTGCGATTGACAGGTCGCTTCTGAACAAAAGCTATACACAGCTCAGTGGACATTTCCTGGTAAAAGAAAATTGATTACTTTATAGTTTAGTTTGAGATCGATATTCGAACCTTATGGCGGGGCCCCCGGGGTGCCATAAAAGCCCCGGATCTCGCATAAACTGCGTTGCGACGTCATTTTCACGTCTGTTGAAGGCGAACGATACGGCAATCTATCACTCCCGACGAGCTCTACGGTTCATTAAAGCGATGACAATAAAGGACCATCGAGTTTGACGGTGTCCTGCTCTGCCTGAGTTGTGCAGAGATTATTTGGCGAGTGACAACGATTGCACAGCCGGGAATAAACAATCTATCAATCAGTAAATTTGAGAAAAAATACAGGCACACTGAAAAAAAAGTCATTACAGGCCCTTTTCACTATTCACAATATAGTTTTTGTTAGCGCAACGCGTGCCCCCACACACTCGGTGAACGCGTGCGTACCACACATACATGTGCGCGTGTACTGACTTCTGCGTGTGCGTGGGTGTACTGACTTCTGAGTGTGCGCGTGTGCTCACTTCTGAGTTTGCGCGTGTACTCACTTCTGCGCGTGTTCTCACTTCTGAGTGTGTTCGTGAACTCACTTGTGAGTGTGTGTACTGACTTCTGAGTGCGTGTGTGTACTCACTTCTGCGTGTGCGCGTGTACTCACTTCTGAGTGTGCGTGTGTACTCACTTCTGAGTGTGCGCGTGTACTCACGTCTGAGTGTGCGTGTATACTCACTTCTGCGTGTGCGTGTGTACTCACTTCTGAGTGTGCGTGTGTACTCACTTCTGAGTGTGCGCGTGTACTCACTTCTGAGTGTGCGCGTGTACTCACTTCTGAGTGTGCGCGTGTACTCACGTCTGAGTGTGCGCGTGTACTCACTTCTGCGTGTGCGCGTGTACTCACTTCTGAGTGTGCGCGTGTACTCACTTCTGAGTGTGCGCGTGTACTCACTTCTGAGTGTGCGTGTGTACTCACTTCTGAGTGTGCGTGTGTACTCACTTCTGAGTGTGCGTGTGTACTCACTTCTGAGTGTGCGTGTGGTACTCACTTCTGAGTGTGCGTGTGTACTCACGTCTGAGTGTGCGTGTGTACTCACTTCTGATTGTGCGCGTGTACTCATTCTGCGTGTGCGCGTGTACTCACTTCTGAGTGTGCGTGTGTACTCACTTTCTGAGTGTGCGTGTGTACTCACTTCTGAGTGTGCGTGTGTACTCACTTCTGAGTGTGCGTGTGTGTACTCACTTCTGAGTGTGCGTGTGTACTCACTTCTGAGTGTGCGTGTGTGTACTCACTTCTGAGTGTGCGTGTGTACTCACTTCTGCGTGTGCGTGTGTACTCACTTCTGAGTGTGCGTGCCACCCTTCTGTTCCGTGAGCCGGCGTTTCGCCTCCTCGTTGACCTGCGCTGCCAGCTCCTTCTGGTGGGCTCGCCGCTTCTCCTCAGCCGTCATCTCATTCTGTACACACACACGTGCGCGCGCACACACACACACACGTGCACAAAGACACACACACGTGCACACTAATCAGAGACAGCGTCAACATTCTAAACTGTAAAGTATTTTTTCTTTTCCCAGGTAAGGCCCACTGAGCTATGTAGCTCTTTTTCAGATGCAACCTGGCCCAAACGATAGCGCAACGAAGTGGCTTATCATCGTGCAGAATGTGGAGCAGCCAAATGCTAGAAACGCGTGATGTTAATTCTAAATGTGGAGGGAGACACACACAAACTCCAAATATACAGCAGCAGGCGTCAGGTTCGGGATCGAACCCACGACCTCCTGTACACCAGGCGAGGTAGTTAACATCTCCTAGGCATCGTGATGATAATGAGAGAGAGAGACGCACAAACTACAAATATACAGCAGGTGTCAGGGTCAGGATCGAACCCACGACCTCCTGTATATTAGGCAAGGTAGTTTAACATCACCACTATTCACCACGGCTATAGGAAAGACACTTCACTCCGTGCCGGCAGCACCCACCGCAGTCTCAACAGCGGAGCTCCCCCTTTTAGCCTTCAACAAGGTTGCACTTTATTTTGAGCGTAGTTGCAATTTACTTTGCTCAGTCGGTTTTAACCACCGAGGTCGTGACAGGTACGGATGCGTACAGGTGCGGGTGTGGTATATACAGGTGTGCGCATTTGTAGAGATCAAGATGTGTACAGGTGCGGGTGGTGTGTGTACAGGCGTGATGGCGATGACGCCTGTACCCGCGTGGTGTGTGTACAGGCGTGATGGCGATGACGCCTGTACCCGCGTGGTGTGTGTAGAGGTGTGATGGCGATGACGCCTGTACCCGCGTGGTGTGTGTAGAGGTGTGATGGCGATGACGCCTGTACCCGCGTGGTGTGTGTACAGGTGTGATGGCGATGACGCCTGTACCCGCGTGGTGTGTGTAGAGGTGTGATGGCGATGACGCCTGTACCCGCGTGGTGTGTGTACAGGTGTGATGGCGATGACACCTTACCCGCGTGTGTGTGTACAGGCGTGATGGCGATGACGCCTGTACCCGCGTGGTGTGTGTACAGGTGTGATGGCGATGACGCCTGTACCCGCGTGGTGTGCGTGCAGGTGTGATGGCGATGACGCCTGTACCCGCGTGGTGTGTGTACAGGTGTGATGGCGATGACGCCTGTACCCGCGTGGTGTGTGTACAAGTGTGATGGCGATGACGCCTGTACCCGCGTGGTGTGCGTGCAGGTGTGATGGCGATGACGCCTGTACCCGCGTGGTGTGTGTACAGGTGTGATGGCGATGACGCCTGTACCCGCGTGGTGTGTGTAGAGGTGTGATGGCGATGACGCCTGTACCCGCGTGGTGTGTACAGGCGTGATGGCGATGACGCCTGTACCCGCGTGGTGTGTGTACAGGCGTGATGGCGATGACGCCTGTACCCGCGTGGTGTGTGTACAGGCGTGATGGCGATGACGCCTGTACCCGCGTGGTGTGTGTACAGGTGTGATGGCCATGACGCCTGTACCCGCGTGGTGTGTGTACAGGCGTGATGGCGATGACACCTGTACCCGCGTGGTGTGTGTACAGGCGTGATGGCGATGACGCCTGTACCCGCGTGGCGTGTGTACAGGTGTGATGGCGATGACGCCTGTACCCGCGTGGTGTGTGTACAGGTGTGATGGCGATGACGCCTGTGCCCGCGTGGTGTGTGTACAGGTGTGATGGCGATGACGCCTGTACCCGCGTGTGTGTACAGGTGTGATGGCGATGACGCCTGTGCCCGCGTGGTGTGTGTGCAGGTGTGATGGCGATGACGCCTGTACCCGCGTGGTGTGTGTGCAGGTGTGATGGCGATGACGCCTGTGCCCGCGTGGTGTGTGTGCAGGTGTGATGGCGATGACGCCTGTACCCGCATGGTGTGTGTGCAGGCGTGATGGCGATGACGCCTGTACCCGCGTGGTGTGTGTACAAGTGTGATGGCGATGACGCCTGTACCCGCGTGGTGTGCGTGCAGGTGTGATGGCGATGACGCCTGTGCCCGCGTGGTGTGTGTGCAGGTGTGATAGCGATGACGCCTGTACCCGCGTGGTGTGTGTGCAGGTGTGATGGCGATGACGCCTGTACCCGCGTGGTGTGTGTACAGGTGTGATGGCGATGACGCCTGTACCCGCGTGGTGTGTGTACAAGTGTGATGGCGATGACGCCTGTACCCGCGTGGTGTGTGTACAAGTGTGATGGCGATGACGCCTGTACCCGCGTGGTGTGTGTACAGGTGTGATGGCGATGACGCCTGTACCCGCGTGGTGTGTGTACAAGTGTGATGGCGATGACGCCTGTACCCGCGTGGTGTGTGTACAGGTGTGATGGCGATGACGCCTGTACCCGCATGGTGTGTGTACAAGTGTGATGGCGATGACGCCTGTACCCGCGTGGTGTGTGTACAAGTGTGATGGCGATGACGCCTGTACCCGCGTGGTGTGTGTACAGGCGTGATGGCGATGACGCCTGTACCCGCGTGGTGTGTGTACAAGTGTGATGGCGATGACGCCTGTACCCGCGGTGTGTGTACAGGCGTGATGGCGATGACGCCTGTACCCGCGTGGTGTGTGTACAAGTGTGATGGCGATGACGCCTGTACCCGCGTGGTGTGTGTACAGGTGTGATGGCGATGACGCCTGTACCCGCGTGGTGTGTGTACAGGCGTGATGGCGATGACGCCTGTACCCGCGTGGTGTGTACAGGTGTGATGGCGATGACGCCTGTACCAGCGTGGTATGTGTACAGGCGTGATGGCGATGACGCCTGTACCAGCGTGGTATGTGTACAGGCGTGATGGCGATGACGCCTGTACCCGCGTGGTGTGTGTACAGGCGTGATGGCGATGACGCCTGTACCCGCGTGGTGTGTGTACAGGTGTGATGGCGATGACGCCTGTACCCGGGTGGTGTGTGTACAGGTGATGGCGATGACGCCTGTACCCGCGTGGTGTGTGTACAGGTGTGATGGCGATGACGCCTGTACCCGCGTGGTGTGTGTACAGGCGTGATGGCGATGACGCCTGTACCCGCGTGGTGTGTGTACAGGTGTGATGGCGATGACGCCTGTACCCGGGTGGTGTGTGTACAGGTGTGATGGCGATGACGCCTGTACCCGCGTGGTGTGTGTGCAGGTGTGATGGCGATGACGCCTGTACCCGCATGGTGTGTGTACAGGTGTGATGGCGATGACGCCTGTACCCGCGTGGTGTGTGTACAGGTGTGATGGCGATGACGCCTGTACCCGCGTGGTGTGTGTACAGGTGTGATGGTGATGACGCCTGTACCCGCGTGGTGTGTGTACAGGTGTGATGGCGATGACGCCTGTACCCGCGTGGTGTGTGTACAGGTGTGATGGCGATGACGCCTGTACCCGCGTGGTGTGTGTACAGGTGTGATGGTGATGACGCCTGTACCCGCGTGGTGTGTGTACAGGTGTGATGGTGATGACGCCTGTACCCACGTGGTGTGTGTACAGGTGTGATGGCGATGACGCCTGTTACCCGCGTGGTGTGTGTACAGGCGTGATGGCGATGACGCCTGTACCCGCGTGGTGTGTGTACAGGCGTGATGGCGATGACGCCTGTACCCGCGTGGTGTGTGTACAGGCGTGATGGCGATGACGCCTGTACCCACGTGGTGTGTGTACAGGTGTGATGGCGATGACGCCTGTTACCCGCGTGGTGTGTGTACAGGCGTGATGGCGATGACGCCTGTACCCGCGTGGTGTGTGTACAGGCGTGATGGCGATGACGCCTGTACCCGCGTGGTGTGTACAGGCGTGATGGCGATGACGCCTGTACCCACGTGGTGTGTACAGGCGTGATGGCGATGACGCCTGTACCCGCGTGGTGTGTGTACAGGCGTGATGGCGATGACGCCTGTACCCGCGTGGTGTGTGTACAAGTGTGATGGTGATGACGCCTGTACCCGCGTGCGCTCCTGCAGAAGATTTGAAGTCCGCACGCCTCGCCCCAGCAGGTCCTTGGCCTCGTTCTTATCATCGTCGTCATCCACCTCGTCCTCATTCTGGAGTGACCCACAAACACATGGTCACACGCTCGGGTCATCATCAGAAGCAGCGTCATCGGTCAACATCATTGTCATCAGCGGCGTCATCACCGTCATCTTCTCAATCGGGATTACACGTAGCAATCATCGTGCCCCCCACCCCCAACGCCCCTCCAGCTACTGGCTGGCAAAGTGTTCAATTTGGCCAACTGCCGAAGAGACAGCTGCCACTGTGGGTGGGGATGGCCTTTCAAATATGTTGCAAGTCATTTGTCGCGTGTAACTGCTACGAGACTCGCCGGCGTAAAGGAGGGCGCATTATACTCTTAGTTCTTTCGGTAAAGTCACGTAGGTAAAAAAATGAAATTAAAATTAATAAAAATAAAACAATAAAATCACGACGTTTTGGAGGCAACACAAGTCTTCGTCATCAGGTGGGACCATCACAGCCAGATTTGCTGCATCAAGTGAGGGAGGGATTCAAGATGCAAGCTCTTAAGTACCAGTTAAGGGGGGAGGGGAGGGGGGGAGCGGCTTATCAGAATGTGGTAGCCAATGAACGGAACGTATCGGGAGGGGGGGGGGGGCTAAAAGAGGGACGGGGTACTCGTGGACGTGTTTGTGCGCAAGTCACTCTGGATGTACATAATAGAAAAGGAACGAAAATGCCCATGTTTATACCAGTGTTGGCTGACAATAAAGAGAATACTGTTAAACGCTAGGGATGTTAACACTCGGTGTAAAGTAAAATTGCCTGTCAGATAAGATGGTCCAAAATGTCAAAAATGAATCGCTGTCGATAGCATGGCAGCCAAGGTTGTTGGCCGGAAACCTGAGGGAGCGTTCGCTCGGTCACTCGGCCGCTCGTGTGGGCGGCCGGAAGAACCTCACCTTAAGGAAGACGCCCACGTTCTTCACCTTCTTCTTCACGGGCGTTAGCACCGTGGCCGGGCCCTCCTGCGTGCCGTCAAGTGGAGGTGAGGAGGAGCAGGGAGCAAAGCGTTAGGTTGAGACAGACGGCAATAAACGGCGACACACGCGACAAACGTCTTACATCGGGGGATGAGCAACCTCGGGACGCCGCACGAGCACCATAGGGCAAGCGAACATTCGGCGAACGTTCCAGGCGGGCCCGTT